AAAAAAAAAAAAGAAAGAAACCATTTCTTCCATAATATCCTTAATTATCCAATCTATCATGTTGTTTTTTATTATTTGGAAATATATTTTTAATTGTGGTAAAATATACATAACATAAAATTTATCATTTTAGCCATTTGTAAGTGTACACTTCAGTGGCATTAAGTGCACTCAGTGTTGTGCCTGGGCCTTCTTAAGTATGTAAAACCCTTCCTTAGACCTCACACAGCCCAAGTCGGGGATAAATTACACCTGCCAGCGAGTTGTTAAAGAACTCTGCTTGAAGACATTATGCTGAGTAATAAGCCAGTCACAAAAGGACAAATGGCTGTATGGTTCTATTTATATGAGGCGCCCAGAGTAGTCAAATTCTTAGAGACAGAAAGTCAGAGCCTGGGAGCGGCCGGTTAGCTCAGGTGGTTAGAGCACAGGCTCATGACACGAGGTTGCCGGTTCAATCCCCACATGGGCCAAAGGGCTGCGCGCCCTCCACAACTAGATGGAAACAACTAGTTGGCTTGGAGCTAATGGGTCCTGGAAAGACACACTGTTCCCCAATAAAGTTTCTTAAAGAAAGTCAGAGCCTGGGAGGAGTGGGGAGTTAGTGTTTAGCAGGTACAGAGTTTTCAGTTTTGCAAGATGGAAAGAGTTCTGGAGATAGATGGTGGTGATGATTACACAACAATGTGACTGTACTTAATGCCACTGAACTGCACACTTAAAAATGGTGAAGATGGTAAATTTTATGTGTATTTTACTGCAATGAAAAAATAACAAAAAATTAAATATTCATATTTGCCATAAACAATAAGAGCTGTTTCCACAAAATTTATTTTCTCTTTCACAATTTATGAGTCGGTACACCCCATTAGATGCAATGTGAAATTGGATCTTTGTTATTACTCATCAAAGAAAGGTCAATGTATGTCTTCCCAGCAATGAGACCACAAGGGTAACACTTAAGGAAGTTGAACATTATTTAATAGCCTTTCTTACACTTGGCCCTTCACTATTTCTCTTTTTATTTATTTTTTCAGGAAAGGAGTTCATTACTTCGGAAATGGTATGATTTAATGATTCGACATAAGGATGACCTTGCCAAGATAATTACAGCTGAAAGTGTAAGTTCAGGGTCCTAATTTGCTACCCTGAAAAATTGTCCAGGAATTCTTAAAGTTTGGGAAAGCCGTTAACTTCAGTGCTGCTCTGTAGCTAAAAAAATGTGAACTCCTGGCCTAATGATCAGATATCAATTAATTATTATGCCAGGCACAAACTTTTTCTAATTAAGCCAGGCACTCATATTTGCTAAAATAAAATGTTCTCATTTACTCTTTAATAATATGCAAGAAATAGCTTTTGAATGGAATTAGGTGAATACAGCTTTTTCACCATTCCAGTTTTGTTCTATGTGACTGTTTTGGTTGATTTTTCATATTGTTTTTGTACATTTTAAAAAGTACCAATAGTTTATCTGTAGCTATAATTAATTATGCAAATAACTATTGTGGTTCAGGTACATCCGACATGCTTATCTCCAGCACCGTGTGTGATCCTATTTTCTAAGACCCATACTAAGGTTAGAAATTTCTCAAGAACCCTGTCGGTTTTGTAATGGGATACTTTTCTTTTTCATTATTATTAATTTCAGGTGTACAAAACAACATAATGATTAGACATTTACACACCTCATAAAGTGATAACCCCAACTAGTCTACTAGCCATCTAACATCACACATAACTGTTACAATATTCATTATATTCCCTATGCTGTACTTTATGTCCCATTTATTTACTGGGGGTGCCAAAAAAATGTATACAAGTGGACACTTTGGTCAACATTGCTCAAGCAGTAGTTCGCTGTGATCAGAAGTGTCTGGACGCTGATGGTAACCACTTTGAGCACCTCTTGTAATTGCAGAAGTCAAACGTGAATTGTATTCATCTTTTGTTGTCGGTATATATCGAGTATTACAATTTTAATACAGTTTTTTCTTTTCTTAAAATGTGTATACATTTATTTGGCACCCTCTTTATATAGATTTAATTATAGTTGACGTTCAATCTTATTTTATATTCGTTTTAGGTGTACAGTGCAGTGGTTAGCCATTTACATAATTTATGAGGTGATTCCCCACACCCATAAGTCTACTATGTAATGGGAGACTTTTTTTCCTCTGCTTGCAGCCTTGAAGAATTTAGAAACAGGGTCATGCTTTTGTTATTGGAAGGTAATGAATGTGTCCTTTTCTGACTGAATTTAGGGAAAGCCACTGAAGGAGGCACAGGGAGAAATTCTGTATTCCGCCCATTTCCTGGAGTGGTTTTCAGAGGAAGCCCGCCGCATTTATGGAGACATTATCTATCCCCCCGCAAAGGAAAAGCGGGCCCTGGTCCTCAAGCAGCCGCTTGGTGTGGCTGCAGTCATCACCCCGGTACGTGGCAGAGTCAGCAGGATCCTAAAGTAGGAGAATGAGCAGGGGCTCTGGCAGAGGTGTGCTCATCTCGTTAGCTTTGCCACCTGTTCTTGGTTTCCTGCTTCCTTTGCAGGATGTGGAGGTGTTTCCTGGTCTTCTGTGATAATGGGAGATGTGGGGATGGTGAGTGGGAATATATGTTTCTAATGCCTGTAGCGTGGGAGGACCCACAGGATCACCCAGGGGCTTTTCTGACTTGGCATAAAGGTTTCTTCTTGGCATTGCCCAGCACGTCTGAAAAGATCTGGTATTTATCATTTTTTAAAAAGGACTTCAGAAAGTACACATTTTTTATTGTGCCATAGTTTTGAGAACATTTTATGCTTAATTTATGATGATCATCAACAGCAAGTTGGTATTCGTGTACCTACCGCAGACACTGGGCCAGATTCTGGAGGCAAAAAGGCTAAGAAATAAAATACTGTCTCTGCCTGGATGGGGCTACAGTATACTTGTGGGGCACCTAGCTTTCTCTCGGTCACCAGCCTTTTTTTGGACCTACCTCCACGAGGTCCCATATTTGCCTCTCTACAGTGTCTGCCAGTTGGTCTCCAGACGGCTGTTCTTTCCCTACTCAGCACAATTATAGTTAGACACCCCTTTACTACCTAGACTGACTAGGTTTGATTCAAAGCTCACTGTTTCATAGCTGTGTCACCTTGGGCAAGTCACTTAAGTGCTCTTAGTTCCCCCAAACCTGCAAGTGAGGATAATGATAACGACCTCATTGGGTTTGATGGGGATTTAATTAATCATAATTTAAAATTGCTTAGAACAATGTCTAGCACAGAAGCAGCACTATACAAGTATTTGTCACAATGAAATAAAACACTGTTTAGATACACATATCCTTATATATCTATATAGAGAGATGTCTACAGGTATCTATCTATATAGAGGGAAGTAATAAATCACCTGCCATTTTCAAAATCATCTTTGCTAATATTTTCTCCCAAAGGATCAGCAAACTATAGCCCTTAGGCCATATCCAGCTTGCTGGCTGTGTTTGTAAATAAAGTTTCATTTGGACACAGCCATGTGCATTCCTGTACATATTGTCTGTAGCTACTTCCACTTTACAACCACAGAGTTTAGTCATTTCAACAGAAACTGTACATCCCACAAAGCCCAAAATATTTACTGTCTATTTACTTTACAGAACAAGTTACTGACCCCTGGTGTAGATAGTTTTGTACTATTTTAAATTCTGAAAATGTTCCCTGTCTTTATGAGCCTTTGTCCCTGAGTCCCTCAAGTTGCCAGTCTCAGTGGTCTGAAGGCTCACCTGTGCAGGAGCTGGTGAACTGTTTGCCCGTCAGCTGTGCATTAGGGTTTGTTGGCTGTCTTCCTGCCTGTGGACTTTGGGGCAGTGCTTCCTCTCACAGCCTCTTCTGCTCTTCTGCCCCCAGTGGAATTTCCCCAGCGCCATGATTACCCGGAAGGTGGGGGCTGCCCTGGCAGCCGGCTGCACCGTCGTGGTGAAACCTGCCGAAGACACGCCCTTCTCAGCCCTGGCTCTGGCCGAGGTGAGCCTCTCCGTGCTCGGGCAGTGCCAGTAAAGTCCAAACAAGGACATTGACCCAGGGCAGAAAGAAGCCGTCTGGAAACCCCCATCTTTGCCTGCTTCTCATGCTGGCTGGTGTTGTTTTAACTTACCAGCAATTATTTTAAGTCAGATGTTACTCTTTTTAGACAAAACAATTGATAGAGGATTTTCCGACATCTGTAGGCAGTATGTGTTTTAAGCTACCCTAAAGCTGCTACCGATCCATCGTTTTTATTAAGTAGGCCGTCCTGGTCACATGACTAAAAGGTGGGCATTTCTCACATTTAGGGAACCTCTCAGATACCTCCCCCTTCTCCAGTTCAATCTGCATTTAGTCACATCTTGTCAGTCTTCTCTTTAAAGCCTCTAATGGATTCTCATGTCACTCAGAGTAAAATCCAAGCTTCCTACAGTGGCCTTCAAGGCTCTATAAGATGCCACCTGCCCAACCCCTTATCCCCTCCGCCCTTACCTGTCACTCTGGAGCTCCTTACTCGTCTGTTCTGGCCGATCTGACCCCCGCCACTCCTGGGAGCATGCCAGGCTCACTTGTAATTCAGCTTTACACTTGCTTTTCCCTCTGTCTGGAAGGTTCTCCCCCAGGTACACGCTCATAACTCACTTCTTCATGTCTCTACTCATCTGGTACCTTCTCAGTGAGGCCTCCCCCAGCCACATTATTTGAAAGTCACTTGTGCTGCTGACCCCCTTCTCTGCTTTGTTTTTCTTCCCATAGCACTTAGCACCAGCTAAACTTGCAGATGTTTTACATACTTGTTTTGAGAATTATCTGCCCCCACAAGAATATATGCTCTGTGGAGACAGGGACTTGGGTCAGTTGTGTTTACTGCTGTATGCCAAAGCCTAGAACAGCACTGGATATAGGAGGCGCTCAGGAAGTGCTTGTGGGAGGGACGGAAGAAAGGAAAGACAGAGGAAGGAGAGAGGGAGGAGGGAGAGGAGGAAGGGTTTCTTTTACATGGGCTGTTATAGTTTCCTTTTAATAATTCTTAAATCTGTGTGCTGTGTGTAAGTTAACCTTCTTATTAGACTCCTGAGGCATAGGTATAATTAACAGGGTATTTCCTACAAATTCTAATGTTTAGAGCCAGCACTGACCCCACCTGCTTATGAAATTTATTTGAAAGCACACATCTATATTGACTGGAAACATTAAGGACCTCATTTTTAAAAATCTGTGTAAACGGAGATTATAAGGGAAAATGCAGCTTCTTAGACCTACAGAAAATAGCAGGTGTTAGTGAAGGCCTAGAAACTCCAAGGATTTCTCTGTAGTCTGGGCACGGCAGTTAACCCTGCTTGCCTTGTGTCTTCATCTTCAAAATAGTCCTACAGTACTCAGTTTCCCCTGTTATTAGCATCTTACCTTACCTTACATTAGTATTGTGCATTTGTTACAAGCAATGAACCAATATTTACACATCATTATGAACTGAAGTCTGTATCTTATTTAGATTGCCTTAGTTTTTACTTAATTTCTTTTTTGTGTCCCAGGATCCCACCCAGGACACCACATCTTGTGTCTCCTTAGGCTCCTCTTAGCCGGAACAATTTCTGCATATTTTAAAGTAGTGACCCTGTCTGTCCCTACACTGTCGGGGCTGTAACCATCACATACTATACTTTCCAAACAATAAGCAGCTGTTTATTTACTGATTACCACCAGTGCCTATGCCATGTCTCCCCATCACTTTGATTGTATGAGCCTGGTTCCCTGGTGATTCCCTAGGAAGGGCTCACAGAACAATATCCCAGTCCTTACATGTTGACAACAGGCTATGCCCATTGTGCTTGTAAATCCATGTTGCTGGATATAAAATAATTAGTTCACATATTTTTTTTTAAAGATGTTTATTGGGGAAGGGGAACAGCGTTGGGGAATCAGGGAAGGGGAACAAACAAGTTGCTGTCCTTTTGTTCTTCAGTCTAGTTATGGAGGATGTCACTTCACTGGCACATGTTGGTTTTGTGATCATTGTGCTCTTTCCCGGCTGAGGCAGATCGGTCACCAGCCATTGGACAGCTGCTCACGGCGGCTCATGGCAGCTCACGCCGGCTGCCGTACGGCAGCCCACACTGCAGACTCACTGCAGCCTACGCCGTTCCCGGCAACTCACGGCAGCCCAGTTCCAGGTCGAACCGTTGTTCACCATCTTAGCTGTAGAGGGCGTAGCGTCACTGGCCCATGTGGGATCCGAACCGGTGGCCCTGCTGCTCAGAGCTCACGTTCCCAAGCCAACTCTTAACCAATGAGCCACTCGGCCGGCCCCTTGGTTCACATTTTTTACTTGATTATCTTAAACATGTTCTCCATTTTCTTCTGATATAAGGCGTTGCTCTTGCAAAGTCTGATGATAATCTAAGTTTCTTGCCTTTATATGATCAGCTTGTTCTTAATGCCTAGATTCCCAAAAGTGTGTTTTTTTTTGCCCTTTATCTTTAAAGGCCAATAATATTACCAGAGTATGTCTTTGTGATGCTTATTTTGGGTAAATACTCTAGATTTGCAGCGTGCTCTTTTAATATGTATGTTCAGATCTTATTTTGAAATCTGAAAAGTTTTCAGGATTTGTACTTTATGCTTGCTTTGGTTTATTTCTTCAGCAATTCCTGTTATCCGTGTGTTGAACCTTTTTTTGTCACTTTCTTGTGTGTCTTTTTCATCTTTCCCTAATCTTTAAAATTATCTTTTTCACCTTCTATTTTTCTTTCAGTATTATCTGTTGTGTTTATTCGTTCTTGTGTTCCTTCGAGTTTACTTTTCATTTCTGAAATGATTTTTCTTTTATTTCTTATTCTTTCCCGTGTTCCCTCACCTCATTTCTAAATTTTTTGAATTCTGATTCATGTTGTTGTTTTGGATCTTGGTACAATTGTGACTCATACTAAGTCACAATTTTGGTCTGTTTTGTGGGCATGTCTTTCTGATTTCTGCTTTGTCGTCTCTGAGGATGCTTTTCTGCTCTTTATTCTCTCTTTTTTTTTTTAAACAACTTTGTATGGGATTTCACTTCCATGTTTTTCTGAGAATTTAGCTTATTTTTATATGAAGTTAGTGTTCCTAAACTTTTAGAAGGAGGCCTGGATGGAGATGGCTTCTCTACCTTCACAGAGAACCTTTCAGTTTCTTGCTTTCTGAGACGGCCTGGCTCCATTCCCTGGGCCTCCTCCTCCATCACACGGTTCTCAGGGGCTGCACCCTCCACAGTCCTCATTGCACAGTGAGTCCCTTGTACTCACGTACTATTTATTGCATTGGGCAATTCCAGCCGCTGTTCCGAGTAGGTCTGCCCGGTGTTCCATGAA